TACAGAGTTTATACAGGGTCTGTATACAGAGTTTATACAGGGTCTGTATACAGAGTTTATACAGGGTCTGTAAACAGACTTACAGTGATGTTGAATATCAAAATTCTGACTAATTATGTATTTTATTCAATACCTTTTAAAAAGTAATATCAATTTAAGATTAGATAAATAATGTAAACATTGAATTTTAATGTTTAATTATTTGTAATTCATATACTTTATCATACATGTAAATGAAAGTCACCAGATTGCCTATTTTCTGTTGAGGGATTGTCAAATGAGAAAAACAGAGCAGCTGGAATGAACATGGCTTTTTATCAAGGATTAATATAGCAAGATCTGTAAAAGTTTTCAAGGAAGGTGTGGTAAGGTTGACTAATAGACTCCATCCCTGATGTGAGGTATGAATAAGGTTATTCAAACCCAAGGCAGAAAATATTGAGCAGTAGACCCGAGGCTTTGCCGAGGGTCTTTTGCTCAATATTTTATCAAGATGGTTTGAATAACCTTATCCTTATCTCACATCAGGGATGGATTCTATTTCTTGCTTATTACCTAAAACCCGTTAAAACAGCTGCTTTTCTAGTAAAGTTGTAAGCTGTCCGCACATTTCTCATTTGCATATGGATGGCAATTGCTTGTCACGTCAATGACCCTGACTGACCCCAAAACGTCATAAAATGACGTCACAAACAAAAGTGTGACCCCAAAAGGTCACTATAATTCCCCCGACAGTCTGCGCATGTAAGCGATCTAGACCCATGGGATGGATAGAATTTTCCAGCTCCGCCGGAAATGCGGATATCTCGGTCTAGTATGCAAGAAATCTGTATACTACACTTGACAATGCTGCGATGGCTGAGTGGTTAAGGCATCTGACCGTCTACAATCACTATTCCAACTGGATGGCAGGTTCAATGCCTCTGTAGGAAAGTCACCAGGTAGTGGCTGCAGGTTTGTGGTGCTTTCTCGCAGCACTCTGTTTTTCCTCTACCACCAAACCTGGCTCGTCTTAAATGTCCTTAGCTGTAAATAGGACGAAAATTACAAAAACAATGGAAACCTGCATGGTCCAAACATCAGAGCCAGTACAGACAAGGATCTGGATTAGACAGGGTCAATTTAGACAGGTTCAGTGTATTTTAATTCTTACGTAACATCAATAATCTTAGGTTTTCAATTATTTAGATTTCCTGCAATTTCTCAGTAATAATCTTTAAAAACTGTTTCCTTATTTCTCCTCTTTTGCTGATTTCTCAACTGTCCATCAAAGGGACACACATGCAGTTAAATGATCATCTCGCTCTTCCAGTTGAACGGATGCAGTTATTATCACAGAAAGGAATGACAGCTCTTAAATATTAGCATATGGAAATTGGATTTTCTGTGTCTGTCACGGCATGGATTTAACTGGTTCAGTATATTACTCCAGTGTGCAGTGTTTCATGTTTCTAATTTAGCTGAAAGGAAGAAGTTATTAATTTTTTCATTTAAAGTTTACTGATGACTGCATATCTAGATTCTGTATCCAAGAAGCAGAGAGATTTTGTTTCGATTTTTCATGTTTTGTATGATCTGCTCTAGGGTTTGACCATTAGTCAGTAATCCTTGGAGGCGTGTCTGTCACACTTCAGGTTTACCACTAGTTATACAATGGATTCGAGAGTAAACGTCAACAGTTCAAGGCACAATTTGTATAATGGGGGATAAACATGAAACTCCCTCGTAAACATGATGAGTTTCATTTAGATGATCCAGTAACACTTGAAAGCTTCGTGATCAGTTTTGATTATTTATTGATTGTTTCCCACATTTCCATTGCTCCATGCATCCTTTCTGTTAGTAACACATTGTCTAACCAGTTTATATATAAAATTCCTCTTCAATTTCATTTCGTAATCCCTAGGTTAATTTTCACAGTAGTACTTCTTCATAACGAAAGGTCGCAGACCAATCTGTCGGCCAGCACTTACAGGTTCTGTAGCTGTATAGATCTGTAATGCGTGACGCTGGACTCGGGTTATACCATAGCTTAGTCAGCTTGTGTGGACAGCAGTACAGATCCAAATGTAAAGTTTGTGGCTCTTTTCTATCTTTAGTTTAGTTACAGTGCTGGGACTTTGAAGTTTTGAGACATAATTTTTTGTGTTAATTCTGTTATTTTTTTTCTTAATAAAAAGTGAAAGTCCAGTCTCAATATAATTACCATATTTCTCCTACTACATTTGTAAATCTTACCCATCCTCTTTTTCTTCTTTGGAATTTATTTATCTTATAAGAAAAATAAATCCATTCCTACCAATTGTCAGTCTTTTTGGAAAAAATTGCTACATTTTTCTGTTTAATTCTTTGGCAGTACATTGTTCATGTATATTTCTAGTGATGGCCCCCAATGACAATAAACAATACAGTGTAGAGAATAAATATATACAAATGGGTGACAATAATACATGGTGGAACAGGATGGTCATCAGTATTGTAAATTAATTATGTCATTAATATTGGTAATTAATTTAGCCAATGATGTCAATTCATGTTGTGTTATCATTTGTCATACATTTCTAACAAGTCACCCCCTTCTTTTGTGAATTTCGAGTAAATTATCCCTGTTTGGATTTTTTTAAAAAATTTTAAGTGATTAACCCTTTTTGTTATTTTTTTTAGTGAATGACCCCCTTTTGTAGTATAGTTCCGTTTTAATTTGTAATATTCATTTATTTCTATCTCACCTGGTCAGTGGTGTAAAGGACTTTTATGCTGTACAGCTGGCAATTGCCCATCTGTCATCCTTAACTTGGGTGGGTCAACAAATTCTTTGATTATCTTCTCAACTGCTGAACAGAATTTCACTGGAGATGACTTCTCAATGAATCATCCTTAGGTGGTTGAGGGTTGGGGCAAAAGTGAATAAACTGGTAAAATTGCTTAAACCAACTTCTTTTCTGGAATTATGTGATGAATATCAACCATATTTGGTTGGTAGCCTCCTCTTTTCAAATGTTCTTGGTTTATTTGTATGATATTCAGAAAATCAACTATTGGCCCCAGTGGTTAAGGTGTCTGACCATCGATGATCACTATCCTTCAACCAAAGGGTCATGGGTCTGAGACGTACATAGGGCATTTACCAGGTATTCTCCGTAGGTCCGTGGTTTTTCTCCTGGTACGTACTCTGGTTTTCCTCCACCATCAAAGCCTGGCACCTCCTTAAATGACCATAACTGTTAACTGGACCGAACTCAAACAAGCAAATCAAACCAAACATTAATTTTTGTATTTTCAATGTTAGTGTCAATTTTACCAAAATTGCTGTTAAGAGATTTGAGAAATAGTAAATCATTATGTATGTTACAATAATTCACCACTACATTGTGTAATTGTTTTACCAGACGACGTGGCAGAAATGAGGCGAGGCTTGTGGTTCTATGACGATTACTGGCAGCCAGTTGAGGACGAGTATGCTCAGGAGATAGAATCTGTACATATTGCCAAGTATATGGGACATAAACTCAACCAACCTCCACAATCAAAGGGCAGGAAACAAGGTAGGCCTATAATATACCACAATCAAAGGGCAGGAGACAAGGTAGGCCTATAATATACCACAATCAAAGGGCAGGAAACAATGTAGGCCTATAATATACCACAATCAAAGGGCAGGAGACAAGGTAGGCCTATAATATACCACAATCAAAGGGCAGGAAATAAGGTAGGCCTATAATATACCACAATCAAAGGGCAGGAGACAAGGTAGGCCTATAATATACCACAATCAAAGGGCAGGAAACAATGTAGGCCTATAATATACCACAATCAAAGGGCAGGAAACAAGGTAGGCCTATAATATACCACAATCAAAGGGCAGGAAACTAGGTAGGCCTATAATATACACTGCTATTGTTTTCAAACTGGTACATACAGTGTACCAGGAAGTTTTCACCTTTGCCCTCTGTAATGAGGGCAAATTTAGCATTACAGCGAATATAAGTAAACAAAATAATTTACATAGTAATTAAATGTGGAGGACGAAATTAACACTGGACAAAAGTTTATTTCATCGTAAAAGAGCGAAAATTTCACTGGAATAAAATTTCCCAGTCTACAGTATCTTGCTCCCCCTCTTCCCTTTCTGAATCTAGTAGACTAATTATTAATACAAATCAAATGTAAAAAACTGTTTGATAACCAGATCAGTTTTATGGAGTTTCCATTTGATTTATCACCTTTTGCAATTAAAATGACAGTATATTCCCTGTTTGTACTTTTATCTTTAGGCAGCTATAAATACATTTCTGCATTATCTTTTCAGTTGTTCAGCGGAAAAACTTTCCAGAATTCTACATAGATTGGAATTCAGTTGATGAGATCTTTCTCTTCAGTGAATCAGCGTCATCTAAAATTTTCAGATCGGTGAGCAACAAGATCGGCATTGCAAAAAGTAAGTATAAATGACATTGTATAATCACATCTGGCTCTAGTAATATAATAGTTTTAATACATGAACCATACACTGTCTACTTGTAAAATGATGGTTTTGAATGTTATTGGATTGGGGCCTCCCTTCAGAATCAGGTTTAACCCTTTCACCCCTATGTAACTTTAATAACCTCTACCATAAATTGATCTGGATGAGTCCATTATGGTCTACAGTGTTGAAAGGGTTAAGACAAGTGGAAGCTAGCTACTAATGAATTTCTATATATTCTGACCTATCCTTGCAGGAATCTTGTATTTGCTACTACGAAAGTGTCCTAAGCGATGTAAAAAATGAACATGTTTATTGCGAAAAGATATTCATTACATGATCAATCCCAGGTCTTACAGTTTACTACAGTGACAGTGAGACATTGAGCTACAGTGTGTGACACTCCAGTGTATCCATTGATTCCTGATGGTTTTGCGATAATGTCATAGGATTTTATTCAAGATAATTCTATAATATAGGTATCAAATTGAATAACTTTAATGCCTATCTTGCCCTTAGGTGGAAGGCGTCTGCGGCGAGGATATCGTTATGAGGCGGTGATGGACGATAAACCCCCAGACATCTCACATTTGCTGTTTGTCATCCATGGTATTGGGCAGAAAATGGAGACCGGCAATATAATCAATCGTTGTCAAGAGTAAGTGGAAACATTCACATTCCAGTCACAAACTGTTTATTGACATTTCCTACACCAGATCTATAAAAAGGCTGCGTGGCCATATGTTATGGTTATTATTTGGTGTGGAGAAGGTTCTCTGGAGTAATTATTTCTAGAGTATGGACTCTCAGGAGTAATCTAAGGAGAGTTCTGATGGTAGTCTTGGGTGTTGTAAATAGAATTTATACCGATGAAGTCATTCACCATCCTCACAAATGTCTTCATTTTAATATTGTTTTGCCTGTGGAATAGATATATACCATATGTATATATGTAGCTACATAGGTTGTAAATTGTTTCTATACATTGTGTTTTTTTTATACATATAAGATCTTTGTTTGTATCACATAGAGAATTAGTCCAAGACTGTACTTGGAGTGTACAGAGAATTGTATAGGAAGTGTGATATTGGTCTAAGTTACCGTATAGGACTCAAATAACTAAAACTCTATGTGTCATTACACATGTAAGGGTAATTAGCAAGTACATGTACAAAATGGCCTTATTAAGCAGGTATTGGTATAATGCCATATTTTTTTCAACAGCAAACTTCATCTTTACAATACTACAAAAGGGCTCATCAAGTTTTCAATATTTAGGAGGGGGTGTCACTGAAAATTGATTACAAATGGGTAGTGGGGTCTAAACAGATTTTAATGTTTGTATAGTAGGTCCAGGGAAAAAGATATTGGGAATGGTGGAGCTGTTAAGAATACCAGGTATCAAATAGTGAGAACTTATTGGTTAGCGGACAGCACCTGGTATTAAATTGCCAAGCAATTATTTGTCTGTCTTTAAATGTAGAAAGATTACATAGGTATTTATTAAGGAACATTATAGACCGTTAGAAGTTAGAAGTTAGGGTTATACAGATTGGAGAATCTTTAGAACTGTTTTAATGAACTATTTGATATTTTGTTTTCAGTCTGAGAAATCAAGTGAAGATATTGAAACAAAAGTTGTTTCCAAACTTTAATGAACTAAATCAGAGAGCTGAATTCTTGCCTGTGGAATGGAGAACAAGACTAAAACTTGATGGAGGTACTGTATCTAAACACTTTAACAATAACTCCCCCTGATGGACACTTTATACAGAGGGCATATGTGATTTATCATAGTAACATTCTTGATCAATATATGTAAATATATTTTTATTTTTGGAGTACTGGAAATAACTTACTAAGATTATAACATCCTTATAATCTATTACATTTGTTTTTAACACAAACGTTTACGTTCACAGGTAACAATATCTTTGTTTTATTTGTAAGAGCTGTTACATCAATAATTAAACATGTTCATAGTTAGATCACTGTATACCAGGACACTTTTGCCAAATCAAATATTTGCCCTTTGCCGATAGAATCTATGATTGCCTAGTGTTAATTTACTACATATTATATGTTGTATACTATTAGTAGCTGTTGTAATAAATTTGCCCTCATTATGGAGGGCAAAAAAGTCGAAAGTTAAACTGCTGCCAAAATGTCCCGGTATACAGTATTTTCTGTAAAGTGTATTCTTATTTGATGAAACTAAAAACAATTCTGGAGAATTTAATGCAATTCATGTAGAATTGTCTGTCACTTACAATGTAACTTGTTGTGTTCCAGACACAGTGGATTCCATTACACCCCACAAGCTTCGAGGGATCAGGACAGTGTTAAACAGTAGTGCTATGGACATTCTGTACTATACAAGTCCACTGTACAGGTCTGAGGTAATTATATGTCACACTGTACAAGTCTGAGGTAATTATATGTCACACTGTACAGGTCTGAGGTAACTATATGTCACACTGTACAGGTCTGAGGTAATTATATGTCACACTGTACAAGTCTAAGGTAATGACACATATTACACTGTACAGGTCTGAGGTAATGCCACTTGTCACACTGTACAGGTCTGTGGTAATTATATGTCACACTGTACAGGTCTGAGGTAATTATGTGTCACACTGTACAGGTCTAAGGTAATGACACATATTACACTGTACAGGTCTGAGGTAATGCCACTTGTCACACTGTACAGGTCTGAGGTAATTATATGTCACACTGTACAGGTCTGAGGTAATTATATGTCACACTGTACAGGTCTGAGGTAATTATATGTCACACTGTACAGGTCTGAGGTAATTATATGTCACACTGTACAGGTCTGAGGTAATTATATGTCACACTGTACAGGTCTGAGGTAATTATATGTCACACTGTACAGGTCTGAGGTAATTATATGTCACACTGTACAGGTCTGAGGTAATTATATGTCACACTGTACAGGTCTGAGGTAATTATATGTCACACTGTACAGGTCTGAGGTAATTATATGTCACACTGTACAGGTCTGAGGTAATTATATGTCACACTGTACAGGTCTGAGGTAATTATATGTCACACTGTACAGGTCTGAGGTAATTATATGTCACACTGTACAGGTCTGAGGTAATTATATGTCACACTGTACAGGTCTGAGGTAATTATATGTCACACTGTACAGGTCTGAGGTAATTATATGTCACACTGTACAGGTCTGAGGTAATTATATGTCACACTGTACAGGTCTGAGGTAATTATATGTCACACTGTACAGGTCTGAGGTAATTATATGTCACACTGTACAGGTCTGAGGTAACTATATGTCACACTGTACAGGTATGAGGTAATTATATGTTACACTATAGAGATCTGAGGTTTCGACACATGTCACACTGTACAGGTCTGAGGTAATTATATTTCACACTGTACAGGTCTCAGGTAATGAAACATGTCACACTGCACAGGTCTGAGATAATAACACCTGTCACACTGTACAGGTCTGAGGTAATTACATATCACAATGTACAGGTCTGAGGTAATGTCACTTGTCACACTGTACAGGTCTTAGGTAATGACACCTGTCACACTGTACAGGTCTGAGGTAATGACACCTGTCTTACTGTACAGGTCTAAGGTAATGACACATGTCAAACTGTACAGGTCTGAGGTAATGACACCTGTCACACTTTACAGGTCTGAGGTGATGCCACATGTCACACTGTACAGGTCTGAGGTAATGCCACATGTCACACTGTACAGGTCTGAGGTAATGACACCTGTTACACTGTACAGGTCTGAGGTGATGCCACATGTCACACTGTACAGGTATGAGGTAATGACACCTGTCACACTGTACAGGGTTGAGGTAATGACACATGTCACACTGTACAGGTCTGAGGTAATGACACATGTCACACTGTGCAGGTCTGATCAGGTAATGACATATGTCACACTGTACGGGTCTGATTTGGTAATAACACAGGTCACACTGTACAGGTCTGATCAGGTAATGACACATGCCACACTGTAGAGGTTTCAGTTAGTGATGCATGCATACAGGTATGAGGAAATGCCATATGTCACACTGTACAGGTAATGACACATTTGAGGTAATGACTCATGCCACACTGTACATGGCAGAGGTATTGACACATGTCACACCCTTCAGGTCAGAGGTAATGACACATGTCACACTTTACAGGTATGAGGTAATGACACATGTAACACCCTTCAGGTCAGAGATGATGACTCATGTCATACTGTACAGGTCTGAGGTGATGACACATGTGAGATCCCCACCCGATAACCATATATAGCATTGCATGGCATCTAGAGATGAATGCAGTCATGATATTAGAATAGACCCTGGAGTCTGACCGAACACCTAGGGACCTAGTTTCTTAGTCACAGCTTGGAAGCAGTTGAGATCCCCAACCCAAAACTATAAATACAATTGCTAGGCATAAAGAGATGAATGCAGTCATGATATTAGAATTGATCTTGGGGTCTGACCACAACCCTAGGGACCTAGTTTCTGAGTCACAGCTTGGAAACCGTTGAGATCCCCACCCCATAACCATACATAAAATTGCTGGGCATGACAAATCTAATTCAGCTATACTACAAGGTCCATCATATTCCCTTGGATCTCATTTGGAGAATATTTTGCCATGATTGCTTAGATATCCAGGTGAGTGATACAGGCCCTCTGGGCCTCTTGTTTCACATACAGTATTTATACAAAAAATGTAATCTTTCGAAGTATGTGATTTTGGCGTGATTTCCAATTTTAACTGAAGTAATCAGATATGTACATGTATCAAGGGTTGTATAATTGTTTCTTGTATTAGTTTCAGGTAAAATTAATTTCTAACATTTACACCAACAGATAACACACAGTCTACAGACCGAGCTCAACAGGCTTCATGAGATGTTCTGTAAGAGAAATCCATACTTTCTGGCTAATGGAGGGAAGGTATCCATCATTGCTCATTCCCTAGGTAAGACAGTACATCTTCTCTATAAGTATCCATCATTGCTCATTCCCTAGGTAAGACAGTACATCTGCTCTATCAGTATCCATCATTGCTCATTCCCTAGG